CACACACACACACACACACACACACACACACACACACACACACACACACATGACAAGGGCAAGAACTTGCCTCAAAAGGTCCGGTTGTTCCTCCAGCTCGAAAATGGAGAAGCACCGGTTTGTTTCGGGACACTGAGCTACCAATTTACTCGCAGTATTCTCCAGCAGCATACTCCAACCGCGTTGGTCACTCATCTTCATGCAGTAGACTTTTGCATGTTCCGACGGGACTGGTGCCCAGTGAACGCGCTACACGAAGAAGTCGAAAAGGTAGCGTCAGCGAGCATGAGGCCTTATTAACGAGGACATTTACAGTTAGGCGTCCAAGTTAAGAGATGTCTAAAATACTGCTCCGAATATTACCGGACCTAGAGAATCCAGCTATTAGGAGATTGGTAAGATGTGAATGGAAACAAGTAGGACAAGGATTGTAGGATAAGGGACACCTACTTCGAGAGTTTGCACTGTGAGTCTGTGAGGCAACGGCATGTTCACCCTGCGCGGAGGTCGTACCATGCCGGCTGGCAGGGGCAAGTGATACCGGCTTCGTCTACCGAGTTCGAACTGGAGGCAGTCCCTGGCGGTTGGACGGACGTAGGCAGCGGCAAATAGGTGGGTGGATGGTTCAACCTGAAGCAATGCATTTAGAATAGGATCCCAAAGAAGGCATTTCAATGACTTTCATTAAAAGAGGATGCACACACTGCCCCGCAGCACAACGACAGAAGCACAGGGTTTATAGACTGTGGTAGATTTGCCTCTTCCTCGCACCCACTGCCCTCATCGATAATGTACTTAAGTTAACGCAAGTCAATTGAAATGACTACATCACTTCAGGTAGCTCATCTTGAGGAAGTTAATTAAACACGATTTCCACCTGAATTAATGTATTAAATAGAACTGGTACATATAAACCACCTCCACAATGCCTGCCGAAAAGAACGGGGAATTGAGAGAACTATGTGAGTTTATTGCTTCTACCAACCAGCTAGATTCCTATTTGCGTCTAGGTGATCATATGCTTTCAAAGGAGTCAGCAAACAATCTGAGCTCAAACATAAACTTTCATTTCCTGCGATTATTTGGATTCTGCCAGAAAATTGCAGTGAAAGGGCTTAGAAGTTTGAGCTTCAGTTCTGGTTCCTTTGACTGAAGTATACGATAAGTGTACGCGCAAACAGTCGACCAACACAGTTGAGATACCATTTAAATTAGACTACGCGTAAATAAGACAAAGACGTTTCGGGGGTCAGAGGACGCAAATCTTGAGTGGAGAACTGACCTGGTACCGGATACCCGTTTCGCGGTCGTTCAGTTTGAAGCCCAGCGTGCCAGTTGCAATGTCAACCCAACAGGTGATGGCCAAGCCCTGACTCATGCGTTTCCCCACGTCATCTGCGGTGGCGATGCGTTGGAGTAACTCACCGGCATTGACCAAAAACGACGAACGTTCCGCCACTGCAGTCTGTATAAAAGTGGAAATGATATACACAATTTACCATTCACGCTTTCTTTGCAGGACGGAGTGCCCCGATTCACAAAAGATGTAGCAACAAGGAAATAGCAGCAGGGCAACCAGTCTTTAGGGCTGTCCGTCACTTTAAATGGGAAGATACTCACCTTTTCTTGATAAAGTGAGTAAAAAATTGGATTTACAAGATACTTAATCCGTACACATGGCTACTTAAATACATACAGTAGTTTATTCTCAATTTCAGTAGTGTGGGACAGTATGAAAGCACTGAAACTGAGCACCTGAAAAACTATGAGATCAGAAAAGAACAGTTTCCCAGCGCCCTCATTCTCTAGGTATTGCATTATTAGATAGGTAATAGGTCGGACTACTTCAGGCCTATATTTGTCAAAAGGAACTTGGAGTACCATCATCCAAAAATGCACAAACTATATTGTTTTAAACAAAACCTTAGCAACCTAAAACGGAATCAGAGAATTGCTGATTCACCGGCAGGAAGACCTCTCGCTTTAATTCGATAATTATTGTGCACAAACATTGCTATTGATATCCGGTAACAAACAGAATAGCTCACTCAATTGCTGCTTCCGTATAGTATGCTTGGGCATCACCTTCACTGACTCTGAAGCTTTCGTATGAGCCAAGACGTCAAACGATGTTTTTATAAGTTAGCTTACCTTGCGCAATTTGTGTTTAATATATTGATGGACTATGGAGTATAAAAAGCAACGGAGACTTGCCTTCAAAGAAAGATCCTGTTCCAGCAGACAGACAGCAACCTGTCTAACTTCAGCCAGTTCTAGCTTGTCCTCTCGGGGTTTTTCGGTGTCCTCAAACGTTTGACCTTCCTTTGTACCATTTTCGGCTGTTTTATCAGTTGGTGTGTCCACAGTCACTACAGGTGTTGTATTGTTGTTATTGCCCTGCTCTGAGTCCGCTGTCTGGGAAGTATTAAAGTCCGGATCCACGTAGAAGGGAGCAACACCGTGTTTCCAGGCGGGCTTCGAAGTCTTCACGTTGCTCAGCACCCATCCCACATTAACGAGACCGGGATTTTGACCGGGTGGAATGAGGACAGTGTAGGCATACTCATCAATGAAGTCAGCTATGGCATTGTCCTGGGCGATTATGTGTGGCTAAAAGAAACGAAAATAATCCATGATAACTGCTCGACAGCAGGGATTTTCGGCGTCCACTTGCAGCCACGCTAACAACAGAAGCTACTTTGTAACCAAAAGGGACTGAAAGATCTCGGATCAACTTTGCGGCTGGTTTCCGAGGCAGATTAACAATCACTACAGTTGCCTAAACAAACAGTCCGATGTGCAACTTAAGGGAGTAATACAGGTTCGTTGGGTCACAGAAGTTACTTACTCCCACCAAACATGGGCCGACTATGAGCACTCAAGTTGACACTTTAACCTCACCGTAGTACATAAAATGGCAATTCATTAAAGTAGTGATTCTCTGACAAAATGCATGCAGTGACTATCCTGAATTCTTACTCCTATGGGTGTCCTATGAGGTACAGCAACAAGTGAAACCGGTATATATAAACTGTATTGTTGAACCTGAGTAGGGTATAACGCACCTAGCAGCGACTTTCGGACTCGACGACATATAGTTCCTTTTAAGTTACAAGTATCGGCCTACACAAAAGCCGCAAGACAAAGCGCTTGGGAAAGTTGTGTGCTAACAAGCTTGCTGCATAAAGCCGTAGGATACACAAAGGCACAAGGGGCGCAGTGCGATAGGGTATTATGCGCTGACGAGAGGGGTCTATCTTAGACGTGCATAAGGTTAAGGTGCCAGCGGGCTGGAATTGGACGAGAACTGCAAGTTAAGCCAGTCTTAAGCCATTTCTTCGCTATACTAAATATAACCTGCTTTCAAACTATCACAGTGTGTAAAGGCGTAACTTGATGACTGTGCGTTTCTTCCTTATGACAACTTCCATTGTTCTAGGGTCCGAAAAAAATGCAATCTAATATGTGTGAGATGGGACCGCAATACATACGTGCCATCCGCAGCTTAGGGAGAGGAATGCCAGGTCGGCTAAAATGCTCCCTTTCAACCTCTGTCGCCTTCACGTGGCCCTACTCGGGGCGCCTGTTGCAACGCTAATCCCCTCGCGAGCACTTGCGCGCGCCCCCGTGCTATTCTGGTTGGCGATCAATCACAACCATCCAAACCGGCAAATCATCCTCAAGGCCGACGCAGGCATGCGCTCACTGAAGGCGCTGTGTCGAATTCCCCGGCCCC